GGAAGAGATTCAGAAGGACCTATTAAGATGGCAGGACCTACAAATATCGTTCATGGGTAGAATATCAACAATAAAAATGAACGTCTTGCCGAAAATATTATACATAGCTCAATGTATCCCGATTCTAAAAAACAACAAATTTTTTGAAGAATTAAACAAAATGACCAGAAAATTCATATGGCAGGGGAAAAAATCCAGAATCAAACTAAAAATTCTGAAAGAGAAAAAATCCAAAGGAGGACTCAGTCTTCCGGACTGGAATATATACTACCAAGCCGCCGCACTGACTTGGATCCGGGACTGGGTTGTGCTGGAAGATAAAAGATTACTTAATCTAGAAGGCCACGATCTACACATGGGCTGGCACGCCTATGTGTGGTACGAGAAAGACAAAGTGCATAAAAATTTCTCGAATCATATAATAAGAGGTCCACTAATGAAAATATGGAACAAAGTAAAAAAACAACATTATAAAAAAATCCCTAAATGGGTGGCTCCATTAGAGGCTTTCGTAATCCCAACCCTAATAAATGAACACAATACAAAAACCTATCAAGTCTTTCTGGATGAAGAAAATCGATTAAAATCCTGGCAAGAAATACAAGAAATGAGCATAAAACTAACAATATGGGAAAGGAACCAATTAAGTTCAAGATTCACAAAAGATTAAAAAAAAGATTTTTACAATACAGAAACGCAGTTTGACAAAGCATGGCTGAAAGGAAAAGATAAACTGATTCAAAAAATCTATAATTTTTTGTTAGAAGAAGAACTAAAAGAGGAGTTGAAAAAACCAACAATGATTAGTTGGGAAAAAGACTTAGGTCGAAATATAGAGGGAATGGAATGGATAAAAACCTGAAAATCAATAAAGTTACTTAGAGCAACTTCCTATAAAGAAAATATAATAAAAATGATATACAGATGGCACTGGACGCCAGACAGATTACAAAAATGGTACTCAAATGTTTCTGGATCCTGTTGGAGGTGCAAACATAATATCGGAACGTATTTCCACATTTGGTGGAAATGCGAAAAAATACAAAAATTTTGGAAAACCGTTAAACAGCTGTTAAAGGAAATTATACGGAAAGATTGAGTGCTGAGTCCAGAGCCTGAGTCCAGAGCTCTTTTTACTGAATGTTACACCTGACGGGCTGAAATTCAATGAGAAGTGTATTGTTGTATATGTTATCACAATGTCCAGGATTTCTATTGCTAAAAATTGGAAATCTGATAAGTTGCCGAGCAGGGATGACTTGACCAATATTCTCTATGATGTAAAAATCCCTTCTTAGTGAGCATCTACTTCATGGTAGGAGTGGTCTTTCCGAAGTTCGTGTTTCTGGGTCCAGGGGTTTGGCCTGGATGTTGATTTTACGGTGAGGGGACTTTCTTTTATACATATAGATGGGTAACCAGAGTTATTTGGTAGCTGGGATTATCTATGTGAGAAGGGATAAAGCAGAGGAACAAAACATAGCAGCAAGCCAGGTCTGTGCTCATGTTGATTTAGTGTCACTGTAAAATGATGTCTTAATGCCACCCTACTGTGCGAGGATAAAAATGTTTTCTGTCCCCTTTCTCCAGACTATACATAATTTTATAAACCACTGTCACATCATCTTTAGTCATTATTTTTTCTAAACAAAGAGTTTAGCTGAACTGCAGGGTGTGGAAGGTTAGTAGTTCAGCAGTTCGAGACCCGGGTGCCGCATGATGGAGTGAGCTCCCATCTCTAGTTCCAGCTCCTGCCAACCTAGCAGTTCGAAAGCAAGAAATTGCAAGTAGATAAATAGGTACCACTTCGGTGGGAAGGTAACAGTGTTCCGTGCACCTTGGTGTTTAGTCATGCCAGCCACATGACCACGGAAACGTCTTCTGACAGCGCTGGCTCTTCAGCTTTGAAACGGAGATGAGCACCGCAACCCTAGAGTCGGACTTGACTGGCTTTCGAGCAAGGGAACCTTTACCTTTACCTTTAACATTTCCTTGTTGTGAAGGTATTCCTAACCTCTTAATCATGTTGATTGTCCTTTTTTTTGCCTATACAAGCTCTACAATATCTTTTTTCAGGTGGGATGACAAGGACTGAATACAGAATTAGAAATGCCTTCATTATGCAAGTTTATATGATAGTATTATGATGCTTCAGTTATTTATATAAATCATAATACTTGTTTCATTATTACAACATTTGACTCTTGACTTTTTAAGGTCTGTGCTATAATCTCAGGCATAGTCAAAGGGATTCTGATATTGTGAAAAGTGCATGTCACCAAATAGAACAAGGAGATGATCAGCTTGTAGAATATTTTGTACTAAAAGAGTATAGAAATTAAAGGCAGATCCACTGTAGGCTTTTTTAAAGCAAGTAGAACCTCATCGTCTTCCTTATCACGTTTTAAGTATGTGAAGCTATTTTTGCCTATGTTTATCCTTTACTAAGGAGCTGCGGTGGCTCAAGTGGTTAAGACGCTGAACTGCAGGCTGTGGAAGGTCAGTAGTTCAGCGGTTCAAGACCCGGGTGCCGCAAGACAGGGTGAGCTCCTGTCTCTAGTTCCAGCTCCTGCCAACCTAGCAGTTCGAAAGCAAGAAATTGCAAGTAGATAAATAGGGACCACTTCGGTGGGAAGGTAACAGCGTTCCGTGCACCTTGGTGTTTAGTCATGCCGGCCACATGACCACGGAAACGTCTTCGGACAGCGCTGGCTCTTCGGCTTTGAAACGGAGATGAGCACCGCAACCCTAGAGTCGGATTCGACTGGCTTTCGAGCAAGGGAACCTTTACCTTTACCTATCCTTTACTATCATTGTTTCCTCTTTGTTTTAATGTCTTCTGACTTGTTAATTTTTATTGTAACAAGTGGGGGGGGGGACAGGTCCCAGAAAACATACGACATTCTGTGTACTGAGCCCACTTGTTACTGGTTTTCTCCAGTAAAGGGAAGGAAAGTGTAGGAAAAGTAGGGAAGATCCAAGGGCAAACCAAATCTTCTTATCAGTCTCCCTCCCCCTTTTTGTCTAGTTGTTTCATTATGTTCCTAAACTTTTAAATTCTGAAACATCTGTTATGCAAGATTATTCTGCCTGGCAACTATATGGTATTCCACTGTTTTCTGAAACAAAATAGATCTTTTATAACTCTATCTTTCTTGCCATTTTGCCATTTTTTAAATTCTCTCTAAGCTGAGGCATAAGTATCTGAAATAATTCTTTCTTGGTGAGTCATCACTAGGTCAGAAGTGGGGGGGGGGGCATAAAAAGAATGCAGAGAGAAGGAAAAGAGAAGTGTCCTGAAGGTACATCAATAACTGAATGCACCTGGAGCGGCAGATTTTCTTTTGGTCTGTGCTTCCTCTTTATGTATGTGTGACTAAGAAAGGTGATTCCAGTGAATGAACTGGGATTTCTGCTTTCATGATAACCCATGGTGTAGAATCTCAGTTTAGTACCCATAAGCCATCCACAGTTTGTTGATCAGCCTGCAGTCAAACGTCACACAAAACCGGAGTTTAATCAAACAACAGTTTATAAAATGTGGTTTAGTGTTATGTTCAAATTGAGCGAATGTACCAAAAATGATGTAATTTAAATTATGTTTAAGAAAATATATAGAATTTGTCTAGCTTGACATTGTATATAAACCATATTATTATATTAGGATTATGAATGAACAATGAGGATCAAATCCAAAAGAAGTCACTACTCATCTTCTGTTGATGCTAACCTTGTGATGTACCTTTATTCCAAGGCATCCAAAGATGAACAGTGGAAGCGAGCCATGGATTATCTCAATGTTGTCAGTGAACTCAATTACATGACCCAGATTGTTATTATGCTATATGAGGATCCCAATAAGGTAATAAAATAACGAATAAACTCATAAAGTCATAATATGTACTCCAAAATGAGGTTTAAACTATCGTATTGATTCTCTTTAGGAGCTTTCATCAGAAGACCGTTTCCATGTGGAATTACACTTTAGTCCAGGAGCTAAAGGTTGTGAAGAGGACAAAAATTTACCATCAGGCTCTGGCTATAGACCTGCTTCTCGAGAGGTAAACACTCCTAGGAATTTTTCTCACACACATGAAATTACAGTAGGACCTCACGTGTCATTTCACTACAGTCAGACACTTACAAACATATTAAGATCCAGCTACCAGGAGAAGTATAACGTTACCTTGTTAAACTAAGTCAACATTTTTTGAGGAGTTGTTAAACTGTGAAAAGAAATAAATTTTTTGCATTAGTATAATCTCTGAAGAAACCTCAATACAGCTGTAGGAAGGAATTATTCTAATGTTTAAATATTCAATATATTAGAACAGCATTCGCTAATATGATGTGTTTGATATTTAGAAATAATTGAAAATAGTTGCACTAGTTTCTTAAAAAAAAATAAAAAAATTGATAGAGCAACCTTACACCCTCATGCAATGAGACTTCTGACACACATGTATACTAAAATATCCCAAATCAGATTCTGTACAGTGCAGGAGAATTGCTGTTAAAAAGACCTTTATGTGTAGAGAATGTTGTCATGCGAGTCTCTAGATAAAGGCTGTATTCCTTAATATTTATAAGAATACCTTCCCATAAGCCTCCAGTCCTGATGAAAATTTTTGTCCCATGAAATATCCCTTTTCTTACAGAATGATGGGTCAAAGAAATCTTCTCATAGAACTGACAGTGATGAAGAATCACATTCTTCTAAAAGGGATGAAACAGATCGATCTATAATGATGTTCAAGCCAATGGTGTCAGATCCAATTCATATACACAGAAAATCACCCCTTCCAAGAGCCAGGAAAATTGGTTCAGTAGAAGTAAGTCATGCCATACAGGGCATATGTATTGAAACTGGTTCCATTTTGGGGAGGTGGGGATATTTATTTTCAGCCTTTCCCCCCCAAATTGCATAGCATAGTAGATAGCATAGGGTGTATTTTGCAATTGCTTCAACCACTTCTATCAGTTAGAAATTGAAAGATATCCTGAGTTTGGAACATGCAGTAAGTCCTGAGCTGACTAATCTACATTGCTTTATATACAAGATATCCACACAGAAAATGTGGAGACGTTTGTGTGTAAAGAGTAAAGAAATAGCACAAGAATCTATCAGTGCCCATAAATCAGAGTAGCATGTTGATAATGCCCCCATATCAGCCATATCTGGAAACAGCCACCCAATGCACACTAACATGCTTTCGTGACAGGAAGACAGAAGACAGCAAGGGAGACACAGGTTACTAGGACAGCCACAAGAAGACACATAACTGTATATTCAGAGACGGTTTTCCTGTCCTCTCTATTAGCTCACTGGGAAAAACCACTCATATGAGAAACATACTTGAAGAATTTAAATCCCATCAAGAGGGAAGCTAGGAATAATTAAAGCTCACATTGTCAGGCCCTCAGTCAACTCACTCTCGACATCGTTTCTTTGAAGAAAACTTTATTGAAGAGATTTGAGATGCTTTGAAGGTGAAAGTCTTTGTTAGGGGCAAAGCAACAGGACCCCCAAGGTATAGTCAAAAGCCACATTCCAATCTTACATCACACACAAAAGTGAAACTAGCACCCCTGACAAATATATGGGTACTGCCTAGCTATTCAAAGCCTTATCTTCTTCAAGGACGAGAGCCTGTGAACACTCACACCTTGAGGCTCATGTTTTGAGAAGAGTTACAAAGCAGCACATCTCTAACTCCTACGTTCAATCAGACTCTCACACATCCACACTCCCCTCCCCCCAGGAATGTCATGTCAGTGAGGGCGATAGATAAGGGGCTGGGAAAGAGAACCAGATGGACATGGGAACAACAGGATACAAGCAGGTAGTAAATAATACAGTAAATATCCCAGATACAGCCCAAGTCTGACACACATTTTGGTGAAGGAAGGAGGAAACAGGAACAAAACCCATACCTCATGTGCTGCGGAGAATTCTTCTAGCCACATACCCAACTGGGCACAAAGATAAATGATGAATCATAGAGTGTTTGGAATCCTCCATTGGCCCTGGCATCAAAACCAGCTTTATATACTAGGACTGGAGAGACTGCAGGTATATCACAGGTTTAGCAGGCCTGAAGTTCCTGCATGTGGCTAGCAGCCATACCACCCCAAAAAGAGCTAAAGCTGTGCTCCACCAGGTAAATAATACACTCTATCTCTCTCTCTCTCTCTCTCTCTCTCTCACACACACACACACACAACCATAAAAATCCAGCTCATCTCTCCACCGCCATTGCATCTGTGAAATGCTGTCCAGCAGAGCTGTTTCAGGTTGTGAAGATGCTTCAGTCCTGAGTCTTTGAGGATGTGTATCTGTAAAATGTAATGCATTTTGCAGATAAAATCCCTCAACTCCACCATGACTTAAGATGCTGCGGTTGGTTCAGTCTCAGGATGCTGATAGAGTGCTGTCTGGTCCTAGTTGTATGGCTGACTTTCAGTTAGCAAGGCCTGATGCTTGGAAATGTGCAGCCCATCCCATTTAGACTTGCCCTTCATGGTTGATAGTGTAAAGCTGCACCGGGTTGACTAAGTGGAAGTATTAAATGCCTCTGTCTGCAGGAGAGTATAGTTCCAACAATCTTAAAATGGTTGTGAGACCCTTCCTGAAGAAGGTGTTCTTGGACCAGAATAATCTAAATAACTACTTCCTGGTGGTCAACATTCCATTCTTGGGCAAGATGCTCAAGTAGGTGGTGGTACACAGCTTCAGGAGGTCTTGGAAGAAACAGATTATGTAGACCCATTTCATTCAGGATTAAATCCTGGCTTTGGGATGGAAACAGCTCTGGTCACCCTGACAGATGATCTTCATCAAGAGAATGATATGGGAGTGCATCCCTGTTAATTCTCTTATACTTCTCAGCAGCTTTTGATGCTGTCGACCATGGTATCCTTCTGGAGTGGCTGGCTGGGTTAGGAGGCATCATGCTTCAGTGGTTCTTCTCTTATATGACTGGCCAATTCCAGAATACGGTGCTCTGCAGCTGGTGTCTGGTCCATGGCAAATATACTATGGATTCCCACAGGGCTCTTTCTTGTCCTCCATCTGTTTAAACATCTGCATAAGACTGCTGGGAGAGATCATTCAGGGATTTGGAGTAAGATGCCAGCAATATGTAGATGACAATTCTATTTCTGCTTAACTGGATCTAATGGGTCTGTGGAACTGAAGGTGCTTGGCAAAGCTACTGAAATGGATGAGGGCCAGTAAACTGAAGCTCAACCCTAATAAGTCTGAGTTGCTGTTGGTCAGTGACACAGCAGCTTAAAGGCTGAGTGTGCCTGTCCTGGAGGGGGTTGCACTCCCCTGAAGGAGAAGGTTCATAGCTCAGGTTGGGGGGGGGTGATACTGTATGCTGGCCTATGGTTAAGGGCTCAGATTTCCACAATGGCACATATCACCATTTATCAGCTTTGGTTTATATACCAGCTGTGGCCAATCCTCAAAAAGCATGATCACAGCACACTGTAATGTGAGCTGCCTTTGAAAACAGTCCAGTTGGTGCAAAACATGGTGACCTGGCCACTATTGGGGGCTGAATATGTGAATGTTATTACCCATACGATGAAAGGTCTCCACTGACTATCCATCTGTTCCAGGCTCAATTCAAAGTGCTGGATCTTCTTCGTGGTCTCTGTGCATCACACCTCTGGGTTATAGTGCGCCTGTGCCGACCCTGATCGGTATTTTGGAAAGCAAAAGGGATTTTTCGTGCCCGCTCCCCAGTCATGTGCCGGGCTCCACTGCACATGACTAGGGGGAGGGCACGAGAATCCCGCTAGTTCTCTTCTGACTGCCGCACTGGTAGGACCTCTACACCTCAGTCAGTAAAGTTTGTTGGCTTCAGGCCTTCTTTCTCTTCTTACCTTGATTAGTTAGTTAAGGAAAGTTATTTAGTTAGTTAGTTTTTCAGTTTGGACTCTCTCCACCTCGGCAGAGACACTCTCTCCCCCTCCCTCCGGCCTATGGCCATGAAGTGGGGTTTCTTTAAACGGTGCTGGACTTGTGGCAGAAAAATTGCTCCCTCTGACAGACACACTCTTTGTCTCCTGTGCCTCGGGGAATTGCACCGTGTTGATTCTTGCTCCCACTGTTCCAAGTTCTCCAAACAGACCAGGAAGAATCGGGCAGCGAGACTCCGTGTGGCGCTAATGGAAACAGTGCTGTCTCCGGTGGTGTCTTCATCACAAGACACGTCCGGGCACACTTCGATGTCAATGCCCGCATTGGAATCAGCGACTGCTCTGTCTTTGACATTGGCCCCAATAGACACAGAAAAATCGGTGCCCAAGCATCCAATTCAGGTGCAACAGTCCGAAGCCCATAACCCTTCCAAGATCCGGAAGGAGGGCAAGAACATTCAACTCAGCAAGCATAAGAAGCACAAGAAAGGCTCTCTCGATAAAGCATCGAGTCCTCACCAAACTGAGACTGCCACTCAGTCTAGAGCTGCTTTGCTTGCCTCATTGAGTCAAGGGCAATCACAAGGTGCACTTCGGTCACCTTCGTTTCGCCCCAACCAATCCATCGACTCTGATCAGGAGCTGAATTTTACTCAGATACCGTGATCTCCCGGTATCGAGAGCCTTCATCGGGAACGAGGGACCCATCTTGTCGTCTCGTCACCATCCTTTGGGCCCGACGATCGAAATCGATCTCCGACGCCGCTCCAACCCTCATCATGGGATCAGCGCCAATGGCAATAGTTGTACAGGGCTTATCCCTTCCTGGGATCGACGCCATGGCTTCCCCCATGCCCCCCTGTCGAGTGGGATCGCCAATCCACATCCTCACAGATTTCCCAGTACCAAGACCCTTCCTCGGCATTGGAATTTGTTAAACCACTGCAATCGAGACCGATCGTTAAAGGTTCCAGCCTCCAGTCGTCAACACCAAAACAATTCCTGGAACCAACGGAGCTACTGCCTTCGATGCCGATCCTCCAGACATCGTTTTCTGAACCTTCGGACCGCTCCAGCTCAATTGGGCGAGGAGAGTCCACACCCACCATTGCAACCGTCCCCACTGCAACAGGTCGAGGACAATCAACATATTTCCCCAACAGAGGATGTCAAATCTTATGGGGACTTTATCAAACATATAGCTGATAAATTGGCTTTGTCTACCACCCAGCCGCCACCGATTGTCACGGACTCCATCTTTGACATCGTCCGGCTGAACACCTCAGCATTGGTCGCCCTCCCCATGATCTCGGTCCTCCTAAAAACAGCCAAGGATCCCTGGTCTCATCCTTCTTCCGTCCCGGTTTCCAATAAAAGACTGGTTCACATGTACAAGATCCAGGAGTCGGGAGCTGAATTCCTCTTCACACATCCGAAGCCGAATTCGTTAGTCATGACCTCTTCTGCTAAAGGCAAGAGCAGCCACCTTATCCCTTCAGACAGAGAAGGAAGGAAGCTGGACACTTTCGGAAGAAAGTTTTACACCACAGGAGCTATGGGGATTAAGGCTGCTAATTATGCTACCTGCATGGGGCGCTATCAGTTTGCCCTATGGGTAGGGTTGTCAGACCTCTGGTTGGGTAGGGGTTCCCCTGCTTTTGGGGGCTCCAATCTCCACAAGTAGCCATCTCTCAGGGAGTTGGGTTGGAACTCTGTCTGCAGTTTCTGATTGGGGGTCTGACCCTGCAAAGCAAAAGAGGGTCATAAGTGCTTAGCCAGCTGTAGCAATAGTTGAGGTTGTTGGTAGTCACCCAAAGATGTTGCTGCACTTCTGTTTTACTCATTTGCTTGGGTTACACCATAATGATTTTGCATTGCCAGGATGTATATAAGAGGTGCCTTC